AGGAAACTCATCTAGCGGAATTGCCGCATCAAATATCTACCGCAGCCTCATGATGGCTGCGTCCGGCTCTCAGGGTAAGTCCCGAGAAGCCTTCGGCCAAGTACTCAATTTCGACCCTAACGCCCTATACGATACTGTTAAGGACGTCGTGAATCTGGACGACTACTGCAAGCCTGACTCCGCGAACAGCAGCATCGAGCTCGCCATTGCAAGTTCAGTCTGGTACGGGAGAGAGCTGATCATCGAACGCGAGTGGGCCAGCACGATGGACAAAATCTTTGACGCAATACCTGGGCCGCAGGACTACCATGCCATCAATCGGTGGGCAAGCCAAAACACACGAGGCAAAATCAATAACGTAGTCTCACCGCAAGATATTTCTCCATCAGATATCAAACTGATGACCGCCCTCTATTTCAAAGCGAAGTGGAGCGAACCGTTCGAAAAATACCTCACTCATCCCGCAGCCTTCTACGGGTTTGATAACAGACGGCAGAACTGTAATATGATGCACCGGACTGATGACCTGCTGTACTGGGAAGACAGCATCGCACAGATTTGCGTACTACCATATCAAAACAATAAACCCTCAACCTCAATACCCATCCCATCCACGCCCACTGCTACCTCCCCAACCTGGAAAGCAGCAATAATCCTCCCCAAAAACCTCGGCCTCCCGCATCTCCAGGCAATCCTCTCGCACTTCTCGCACTCCCCCTCAACCCTCCGCACCCTCCTTACCCCCACCTCCGCAACAGCCCCAATCACCGGTACGCCACCCGGCCTAAAATCCACCCTAGTCCACCTCTCCCTCCCCCGCTTCACCCTCCGGCTCTCCCAAGACCTATCCGAAACCCTCTTCGACCAAGGACTCCGGCCCGCCTCCAAACCCTCGCACGATTTCTCACAAATAACACGCACAGCGCCCGTGGCTATTGCGGGTGTCAAACACGATCTGTTTGTAGAGGTTAACGAGGAAGGCACAGAGATTGCGGCTGTGTCGACAACGGCGGTGTTTGGTGCGATGCCGAGGGCAAAGATTCCCGTGGAGATGAAGGTTGAGAGGCCGTTTTTGTTTTTGGTTTTTGATGAAAAGAGTGGGTTGGTGGTTTGTGTGTCTGTGGTGGGGGAGGTGTAGATGATTAGAGAGGGGTGGTGGTGTATTTGGATTGTAGGGAGAGGGCGAGAAAGAGGGGGGTTATATATTTGTTTGATATTGGAGATCCTTGGTTTGCTTTATATCTCTATGGGGTGGAGGATGGTGATATACCTACCTGGCTATTATATTTTATCTGTGTGTCTCTAGCTAGATTTGCTTTTATTTTTCACTGATTTATTCAGTTTTAACGGATTCAACTCCAAAACCCAGGTGCCGGATGCTATTATCATATTTCGCTGTGCAGGCTACTAATTCTGCTATGGGAGTGTCCAATGTTAAACAGAGAGAAGGGTGCGGTGAGGCAAAAAGAGGCTAATACATAACTGCAGATGATAATAGAGAGGTGTTATTGTAGAACTGCATATGCATGTGGCGTATGCATGTATGTATAAAAATATATATAACAACAATGATATTTCCCAGATACCAATGCTATGCCATTTTCTCCCCTTTCCCTTCCACAATCATGGGGTTAAACATACATATCCCCACCACCAGGAGCATACCTCTCACCGATAGCGTACCCCATTCGTGAGCCCCCTATCCTCCCTCGCCTCCTCCCCCTGCCCCTCCCCGGCCTCCCCCTCCCCCACAACCCTCCAATCCCTCACCCCACCCTTCCAATCCGCAATCCTCCCCTCCTTAACCTCAACAATAACCACCCTCGCCGTCTCATCCACAGTAACCGGCACGGCGTCCTCTCCCTCCCTTCCCCCCTCCCTCGCCGCCGCAAACAAACTCCCCCCCTCCTCCGCATCCCCCGCAAACGTATTATTCTCCGCATGGCGCGCCTTACACCACCTCTCCTCCTCGCCCCCCTGCTCCGCCAACCTCGCCTCCCCAATAATCGTCGTGCTAATACTGCTCAGCGCGCTCGTGTTCAGATTCAGCAGGAGCGAGGCGAGCGAGGAGCGCGTGGCGGCGGGGGGCGGGGAGCCGTCGCGGGTCACGTCGCGGGTGCGCGTGGGCGGGCGGTGGGAGACCCAGTCGTGGACGAGGAGGGAGACGCGCGGGTTGGAGAGGAGGTTTAGGGTCTTTTTTGAGGAGGCATTGGTGGTCATGATTATTGTGGGCGTGGGCGTGGGGGTGAAGGGGGTTGAGGGGAGGTAGGTGTAGGACATCAGGCTGACGTGCGGGGTTGGGGTGGTGGGTGTTGTGGTGTCGCAGGTTGCTAGGTGGAGCTGTGGGAGAAATGATCAGCGGGGGTAATGTTATAGGGGTAAAGGGGGGCGGGATGACGTACAAAGCGGGCATTCTTCAAGCAGGATACGACCTCGGAGGGGAGGCTTGTTGCGAGCAGCGGGTGGGTGGTGGTGGCAGAGGCCTCGTAGCTGAGCGGGGGGTGGGTGTCGGCCATGGCTGCACAGTCAGGGCGGGGTTAGCTGACGGTGGATTGTTGCTGAGCAGGAATTGGAACTGGAATTCCTGGTTGATGTCTATATCTGTTCTGCTTTGAACAATCGACGTGAAAATAAAGCAATCTCGACGTCATCCGCCCCACGTGATCCATTTCCCCAAAACGGCTAGCGTGGTTTCCCCAGGCCCCCCGCGTTTTAGGGGCTGACGTAATCGGGGCGTCAGGGGCTGAGTCAGCCGAGCTCTCCCTTCCTGTCCGACTTCTTCTCTTCTTCTGCTTCATTTCTATCTCTTCCTCTCTCTTCAGTCAGTTAATCAGCCAGCCAGCCAGTCTGTTCGAGCATCAATTCTTGCCCGGACTCAATCTCTCATTTACCTCCCTGCTGTCTTACATCTTGCTGCGGTCTAGGCGTGCCCAGGTGCTCTGCATTGTTTGCCTGTTTGATAGGCTGCTCTATCCTTGTCACACTACGCTTCCCCTCTCGCGGCCCTCGTCTTGTCCCTTGCTTGGGCCTCCCCCTCAGCCTGTCCCTGTACCGGTGTACCCGGTCTCTCACAGACAATACGCGAGCAATTAACTGGCCACTGTGGTGCCGTCTATCCCGCTGCCTTCTGCATCACGCCAGCCGCTCCCTCCACTGCGATCAGCTTCTCGAATCACTATTAGGACTGTTACTACTTCGCGACCTCTAATAATACAATCTACACCTGTACAACCTGCTGCCATCATGTTGGCCCCACGTCTCTTCCGCACCAACTCGTCCTCTCCCGCTCTTCTACGCTCCGTGACCACATCGAGCGCCCGCTCTCGGGCCCCCTCGATCAGAGACATCACGCCAGACAACTCCGCTGCCTTCAATGCGAGGCAGAAGGAGTTTCGCGAGAACCTGGAAGCTGCTCGGAAGAAAAAAGAACAGCAAGAGAGTCAGTCGGGTCATGCTCCTTCATTCTCTTTTGCTCGCGGGTCTGGTTCCCATACTCCCACTGCTCCGGGTGTGAGCAATGCGAGCGGGAAGACCAAGCCTGTTTCTGCTGTTCTTGATGCTGCCGATTCTTTGGACAATCAAGGATTGGGCTCACTTTCCACCCACCGCATTGTAGGAGAAGAACGTCAGGCCGACGCTGGCCAGTCTACCAAGCGCGGTGCTTTGTCTAGTTTGATCTATGGCACCAAGGAGGGACAGCAGATGGACAAGGACATTGAACGCTCGTTTTCCGAGGTGATTGCACGAGGGAAATATGTCCATTCAATTGTTTTTCACACCGTCAAGCCAGATAAGGTCGATGAATATGTCGATCTGGTCGGGCAATGGTACCCCAAGATGGCTGCAGCAGAGGACAACAAGGTTAATCTTGTTGGTAGTTGGAGGACACAGGTTGGGGATAATGACACATTCGGTAGAGTTCATCAATCTATGTGGCTGTTTCTCGAATGCTAATCGCGTGTTCTAGTTCATATTTGGGAATATCAACGGTATACCGGATACCACGCCTCGCTACACAACATCTCACAACATCCAGAATTCCGAGCCTTCGATCGTCGTCTAAAGACTCTTATTAACACCAAGAGCACATCCTTAATGCAAGAATTCTCTTTCTGGCCCACCACTCCTCCTCGCAAACTTGGCGGCCTTTTCGAGCTCCGGTCATACACCCTCCACCCAGGCAATCTCCTGGAATGGGAAACCCACTGGCGCCGTGGGCTTACTGCTCGCCGCGAGGTGATGGAAGGAGTTGGCGCGTGGTTTGTTCAGATTGGCGAACTGAACACGGTGCATCACCTGTGGCAGTTTGCAGATCTGGAAGAGCGCAAAGTACGACGAGAGCAGTCGTGGGGGATTGAAGGGTGGGCGGATACCGTTCACAAGACTGTTCCTTTGATCCAGACGATGAAGAGTCGGATCCTCATCCCGATGCCATGGAGCCCCGTGGGATAGGGAAGGAATAGTACTGGGCGGGCGGTGGGGACTGTATTGTCCCTGGGATATATGGGCCGCTAAATGGAACGCACGGAATAAACCAAGAATGCACGTCCATAACTGAGGGTTGTGATTCTACTACTGATCTCCACGAGGTGGGCGGACGCATACACACGCTACGGATTCCCACGAAATAGATTTCGGCATGGCACATTGGAAGGATATAGAGGGTAGTGTGGCACGAGGGGGCTTTTCTAGTGTATTTATTTTTCACATCTGGGGGTTATGTCAATGTGTCATAAGGATGGGGGATGAGCCCCTGATGGAGATTGGCGGAAGGAATCAGCAGGGCAGAGTTGCCTGGATATGACCGGTAGTTAGTGGGCGTGGGAGGTGAATAGCAATATAACAACTGTACGAGAGACTGATTCCTCTGGCTTATAAGTTTCCCCTCTGTAGTCTGCACCAGCTACTGCTAGCACCCCGACCCCGGCCAACAAAAAGGATATCATATCCCTTCCGAAGAAATAGGGAGAAGAAAAACAAAAAACAAAAAAAGAAAGCACTAGCATGTCTTGGTTTCGATCCAAGGTCCTCCGGGTTATGAGCCCGGCGCGCTTCCGCTGCGCCAACATGCTTGATTGTTGGATGCAATTATGGGTCTCTACCGACATATCTGGGGTGGTGAGTCACAGATATTTTTGATGTATGGCCGTGCGTGGAAGTTTGGGCGGCAGAGTGCGTGGCAGGAAGGGAGACCTCGGGTAGACCTTCCCGTGGCATGTGAAATCCGGGCCAGACACGGCAGGTGCACCCGGGACGTGGCTGGCCAATCAGCGACCCAGACACGCTTTGACTTTTTTCTCTCTCGTGTTTTTGTCCCACGAGAACAACATGAACATGTTGATTTTGATATCGGTGGGTTGATGCATATCACGACCTCCGATTCATGACCTGTGGGCCTTTTTTTCATTTCCTTTTCTTTGGCCTTTTCCTGTGTGTTCCATTCAACATAGCCCAAACCCTGCCATCAAAACCCCATACATTTACCACGCTTAACTCGCCGCGCCCAGCGCCCCCCCGTAGCTAGAGAGCTAGTTGGCGGTTAAGATGGTTTACATCCGCCAACGCAATCTGGCTGCGCTGCGCCAGTACAAGTATTCTGCCGTCGACCACTCGCTCGTGTCGAGATATGTGCTGAAGCCGTTTTATACACATGTGGTTATTAAGTGTTTTCCGATGGGGATGGCGTGAGTTGTTTTTTCTTTTCTTTCCTGTTTTTTTGTGGTTTGGTATTGAGGGAGGGGGAAGGGGAACGGGGGTTGTTTGATATGGAGTTTAGGATGGGTGGTTGATGGGTGATATGGGGTCACATTTGGATTTGAGGAGTTTAATGATCATGCTAACGTTTGTCCGATGCAGGCCCAATGCCGTAAGTGGTCTGGAGGGGTTGAGTCCTCTCGAACTCATCTACCCTCTCTTGCTGCTTTCTTCCAGAAGACGGAAAGGGGCTGAAGTCCCGCCCCTTGTTTGAATGAGCTCCCTTTTGCCTCCCAATGCCCCTGCTGATAATCTATGCATAGATCACCCTTACAGGTTTCGGTTTTGTGGTCATCAACTTCCTAACCTTGCTCTGGTATAACCCAACTCTGGACCAGGACTGTCCGCCGTGGGTTTATGCGAGTTGGGCGGTGGGCTTGTTTTTGTATCAGACCTTTGACGCTGTTGATGGGGCTCAAGCGTATGTATACATATTATCACTATGGGGACTCCTTTTTTATAAGGACCACCCGGGATTGAGGATTGTAATGCTGATTCGTGTTCCTGATGTACAGACGGAGAACTCGCCAGAGCGGACCGTTGGGTGAACTTTTTGATCATGGTAAGATATTTTGTCTCTGAGACGGATTGGTAGAGGGGACGGACGACATACTAACTTATTACAGGAGTTGATGCATGTAATACCGCTTTGGAAGTTGTTCTCTTCGCTGGAGCCACCAACCTTGGTCAGACTTGGGCTACCGTGTTGACGCTATTTGGCTGTATGTTGAACCGCTACATATATTCTGATATACTGTATTTGGTCCCTCTGGAACTGGCTAACATATTTCCAGCTACCCTAACCTTCTATGTCCAAACCTGGGACGAATATTTCACCCAAACTCTCACTTTGGGTGTGATCTCCGGCCCCGTGGAAGGCATTCTAACCCTCTGCATCGTCTACGCCACAACAGCCATCAAAGGCGGTGCCAGCTTCTGGCATCGCCCCATGCTCTCCACCCTCGGCGTCCCCGCGTCCCATTTGATCCCTGATTCACTGTACAACCTCCCCTTCACTACCTGGTACATACTCTACGGCAGCGTCGTTCTACTCTTCGGTACCTCATCCAGCATCCTAAACGTCATGCGCGTCCGACGCCAGCGGAATCAGGACCCTTACAAGCCTCTTCTCGGCCTGTTGCCATGCGTTGCTGCATGGATCCTTGTTCCCGCATATCTGCACCTGCACCCCACGATCCGCGAGATGCATTTGGTTCCGTTTATTATGTTCGTGGGGCTGATCAATGCGTATTCGGTTGGTCAGATGATCATCGCGCATCTTGTGAAGAGCGAGTTTCCGTATCAGAATATTCTCTTGTTGCCGCTGGCGGTTGGAGTTGCGGATAGTCTGGCGCCCACGTTGGGCCTGTGGCCAAGCGTGCTTGGTGAGGGTGTTTATCAGGTTGCGTTTTTGTTCATGTCGCTTGGCTTAGCGCTGGGGGTTTATGGGAGTTTTGTGGTGGGTTTCCCCTCTTCCTCCCTTCTCTCTTTTCTTCACTCGTACTTTCTTTTGGGGGATAATGCTGACGGCGAATAGTTCGACGTGATCACTACGATCTGCGACCACCTCGATATCTGGTGTCTGACTATTAAGCACCCGTTCGTTGAAGGGGCCGAGCAGGCGAAGGCTGTGGATAATCCTACCTCTAAGCCGAAGGTTAATTAATTAGGAGATGAGAGGAAGATGGCGTTGATTGTGGTGATGTATCGGATGTGGATGTGGGTGGGGGGTCGGTGTTGGGGTCAGCCATCCATTCTCTTCCCTGACTTCTCGCCGTATATATATCATCCCGTTTGGGCTTGACATATTTAGATAAACGGCTTCTAACCCCCTTGGGTTCACTGCACCGCGGGAAATTGTGGTGCTAGCGTATGCCAGTTGGTTGGGGAAGCTCAGCTTTGTTTTTTTTTTTTTGCGCTTCATATCATACCCCCTTTTCACTTATCATATATAATGGGCCGTGCAGGAAACTTTATTCTTGATCTTTTTTTTTGAGGGGATGTGTATATGTATATGTATGTGTTCTTGTTCTTTTTATTGTTATTTCTTTTTCTTATCTTCTCCTTTATTATGATTCTTCTTCTTCTTCTTCTTCTTCTTCTTGTTGTGGTTCTGTTCCTGTGACTACTACTGCATGGTTTGTTTTACTAGTTAGACTGTCCCCACCCTCCCCCCCCCCTATCTTATTTATTAGCTATTTTATGTAGTTTAGTTGCGTGGGTTGGTTGGTAGGGAAGGTGAGATGCAGGGTGAGATGGTGTGGCTTTTCTCTATGGGGTATGGGGTATGAGGGATGAGATATAAGATGTTAGGAGTTAGTTAATATAGATAGAGAAGTATATGCTTTGTTTTTTCAGGGTTGTTTGATTTTGTTTTATGGGATAGAAGTTATGTGAGTTTTAGACTTTTATGATTTTACATGCCATTGTAGACAGGTGGCTGGTGTCTGGGGTTATGGGAAGGGAGGTGAGGGGGGGGGATATGCTTGACTATGCACTTTTACATGTTAGTCTACCTCTCTCTCACTTAGCAAAAAGGATACTGTTCTTGTATGTACCTTCTTGTTTAGATGTGTATCTATAGGTAGATAGATAGATAGATAGATAGGTAGGTAGGTAGGTAGATGTACTTTGATTTAATAGATTGCCGTACATGGAGTATGCGTGTATGGGTGGGTGTTTTCGTGGGAATGGTAAGTAGATAATTCTTGCAATGCAAGGTCAATGAATGAATGAATAGATTAGTTGGTTTAATGTGACTAGCTAAGGATTAACTAACTGTTTTTTTTTTTTGGTATTCTGTGTGTTTGTGGAGAACGATTATGATAGTTTTCAAATAGAAAAGAAAAGAAAAGAAGAGAAAGAAAGATCAAAAGAATGAATGAGTGTGGTGCAAAATGCGGATCAGGGCTCTAGAATGCCAAAATTGCAAGGAGTTTTTTTGAAACAAGGGGGCTAGCTTGCATATTATGATGATGATGATGATGATGATGAAAAATAATAGTCGACGTTTGGGACACAGCAGGCAAAATTCGATTTAAAGATGAAGAGAAACGAAACCGTTGCAAAAGAGCAAAAGGAATGGCGTTTCCAAAGCAAAACTGCAAAAGGGGGAAAGTAGAATGGGAGGATGGGGAATGGAGTAAGTAAATGTTAGTAAGAACCATACATGCTATCAAACTGAAAAACCTCTGACTTGAATAAAGAATAAGCCCGGAAATAAAAAGAGAGTGCGGTTAGTTTATTATCAAACTGAACACAAAAATGGTAGTATCAAATCAAATCAGTTCGGTTTCGTATCACAAGAACATAGACCAAAAAGGAATAACCAAAAAAGTAATAACCCAAGAAAAAAAGACATCAAAACATCGTAACTCATAAGCCCCTACTATCCTACCTTAGCCCATAAAGCCCCTCAACCTCTAACATAACAACACCCTAACCTCCACAAACAATCCCCCCTACTGCCCCTGTGGCAGCCCCTGCTGCTGCCCCTGAACCAGCGCGATCAAATTGCCCGTGCCCGGCTCAACATAATACTGCGGGGGCTGCGCTCCGGGATCTCCAGGTGCCACTGGCGCTGGCGCTGGGGGAGCAGGCGCGGGAGCAGGCGCGGGAGCTGGCGCAGGAGCTGCCGCAGGCACTGGCATGCCATAGACATTCTTCGTTTGTGGGTCCATGAAGACATGCTGTCCGGGGGTGGCGGGCGCTGGGGCTGGTGCTGGAACGGGTGCTGTGGCTGGGGCAGGGGGGTTGATGCGCCAGATATTTCCCGTTTCTCGGTCGAAGATGTATCGGTCTCCAGGTTGGGGGGCGGGAGTTGGAGCTGGAGCAGGAGTAGGAGCAGGAGCAGGAGCAGCTGCTGGAGCTGATGCTGGGATGGTAACGCGCCATACGTTGTTCTGTGCGTCGATGATGTAGTTCTCTTCGGGTTTGGGAGCAGCATTTGCCGGAGCAGGAGCCGGAGCAGGAGCCGGAGCAGGAGCCGGAGCAGGAGCCGGAGCTGGAGTTGGAGCTGGAGCTGGGGCGGGGGCTGGCGCTGGCGCTGGCGCGGGTGCTGGTCGTATTTCGATTGGGCACATAGTGACTGGAAAAACTCGTACGGATCCTGGGGGTGGCGATGACACTGGGAATGGCCCGTTAACTTTCTTTGGGTTGATTGGGATAAGTTTTACGCTCTGTGGAATACCAGTGGCTGTTGCGCAGATGGGATTTGGAGGGGGCGTGGCCGGTACGGGCTTCCCTTTTTCAGCGGGTTCGTAGACGTATTTCGTCGTTGGCACTGGGCCGTAGAACGGGCGGAGAACTGGCGGGTTTC